CATTTTAATGAAGACTTAAAGTTTATTGGCCAAACTATTGTTATGCAGATTTTAGGTCAACCAGCCAAACAGTGTTATGCAGATTTTATCATTATGCATCACTGCAAGAAAGATTAATTCTTAAATTACCTATACTAGCTGAAAGCTGAAATCCATTTTTTATGCTGATTCAAACCTCTTCGGAGAAACCTTCAGTCAAACAAAGATCTTTCGTATGCAGTATTTTGCTTACTTAAGGCAGTTTTGTCTGGGGTCATAAAATGATTCCAAATGTGAGCAATGCTTGGTCTGAAATTGATATTGGATAGATTGTACATATTCCCATTCAACTCTCACAGTTTGCCCAGTAGAAGGAATTTTTTAAGAAGGTGTGCGAAATTGTGTTAGAAATGTGGTAACGATTCCGATCAATTGCAAATAAACAAACAAGCCAATGGCTTGTTCACCGAGCTTGTAACATTACAACAAGGACGACTTGCATAACATTCGGTGATTGTAAGCTTATTTGCAGTCATAATCACAAACAAATCTCAGATTTTTACTACATCGTTTGGGTTTATGTACATGCAGATGCCCTCTTTCAGCCTTTCAGCCAAGGACAACTGGGGAGAGCAAATAAAAGGCAGGCTTTGTGGTGATGCAGTGATGGCAGGCCCCCGCACACAAATACAAAAATCTGAGAAGAAGCATTTTCCAGTCCATCCCCCAGCAGATACTCTGGGAGAATGACTCATGTCCTGAACACTTCCTTTCAGTTGCACTTAAGCTGGCTGGAGGTAGGTGTTGCCATGCAATTATAGGTCTTTTAAAACAATCAAATGGATACTATTTAAATAAATTGAGTTATTTACAGACAGCTGATATTTTTAGTGTTCTATGACTAAATTCTTCTAAATTATATATTCTGAGACCCTAAACATCCATTCATCGCATAATTACATATTTAGTAGCCCTAGGTTCTAAAACACAACCAACATAGCTGTCGTGAGCCAGGCACTCCTTCCCAATGAATGTAATCATTCCACCAATTGCTAAAAGAGTTTTTATTCCAAACGGCTGCAAAGTATTCACCACACCAACAATACACTCAAGGTAAAAAGTTGACCTCTCGCTCTGACTAACGTCACCCCACACTTTGCTTATGAACCCTTTGGGGTATGTTCCTGGGGGGTGGTGCACTTTGGATGCGCACTTGCCACGGCTCCTCGAATCATGTCTCCAATTGCCCCTGCCAATGCATGCGCCGGCACGATTGAGCATCCCAAATAATCTCTGGATCCTCCCTACCCTGCTATCTATCAGCTTCGTTCTCACAATTAAGAGTAGTGTCGAGCCCCATGTCCTTGAAGTGTTTTGATCCTGTACTCCCTCAGCCTGCCCCCTCCCGCTGCGGGTGGCTCACCACCCATTGCGGCTGTAGCCATAACATCTAGAGAATTAGGATGAGAACTCTGGACTGGTGCTAGAATAATAATAAACTCCTCTTCTTCTATTCTGGAGCTCTGGTTCTCACTAGAACCTTTACTCTCTTCTGAATGCATGGGAATCTCATCCGAGTGCATGACACCGGCGTTAATAGCAGGATGGTGGTTTGCAATAACTGGTGGTGTATGAAGTTATCCATTTGATGAGGTGAGTGTGTGTGTGTGTGAGAGAGAGGGGGGGGGCACAACTTTATATAACCCTGTTCACATATAGAGAGAATGTAAGCTGGCTTGAAATCCTCAATGTAATGCTGGAAATCAAAATTCTGTTCCTCAGAGATGAGTAAATCCTGAATACATGGAGTGTACTTGATAAGTGATTAATAAGTTCTTAACAATCATTCCAGTGAGAGTTGCATAATGCCTGGGGACCAGAGGCTTGCATAATATTCTGGGAGTGCAATTATTTTGGAAAGAATGCTTCCCTTCTTTTCTTAGCAGTTTGCTTTTGCAAAACATTATTTCAAGAATAGCCCACTGGAAACGAGCACTACTTAAATCTTTCCTTACTATTATCCAATTAAACAGCTGTCAAGCTGAAGGATCCTTTATCCATGATGTCAACTAAGCAAGAGTCATATGATCATTTAAAAAATGGTCAAATCTTCCACCTGTTTTTTGTTTGGGGGTGGGCAGAAAGAAGACAGCAAGAAAAAATCCACCATGACCCCTTGATCTAGCCACCTCAAAACCTTGTCGTAGTATTATACAAGGTCCATCTGGCAAGACTTGTTTCTGTGGAAACTGTGTTGCGTTGTTGCCAACCTCCCTTCCCTATCTACGGATTCCAGAGTGTTCCTATTCCATTGTCTTTCCCACAATGAACATAAGGCTAACAGACCTGGGACCACTGACACCACCCTCCAGTCCTCCAGAACTTCACCTGTTCTCCACAAGGCCTCAAAAAAGGAGGCCAGCGGACATGAGATTACCCCTTCCAACTCCCTAAGTACCCTCAGGTGTAACCCATCATGGCCTGACACCTTCAAAACGTCCAGTGCCCTGAGAGGCTCCTTGACTTCTAGGGGGGTGATTTTAATCTGTGCCCCTAAATCTCCGGCTTCATCCGATCCCCCATGTGTATCTCCCCCATCCTGCTTTGGAGAGAACACAGAGGCAAAATAGTCATTTTGACTTCTATCTAAGCCAGTATGTAAAGCTTTGCACTGTTCCCAACCTTTATATCGACATTTTGGCCTTCTCATCTTCATTTCCTTAAGAAAAGCTCTAACCCCCTGGCAGACTAGACAACAACATTGCGCTACACTGTAGTGGTACACTAGTACACCACAGCATAGCAATATCAGGAAAGGACTATTTGCAGGACTAAAGTAATCACTACTCAACTGCAGAGCTGTCCCTCCCCCACCACATATTCAATGTAGGTGCGGTAGCAAACTTACTAGTGTAGTAATAAAAAGCATAATCAAGATTCGTCAATAACAAATACAGCCAGACTAATCTGATTTCATTTTTTTACTTGAAAAATTTCCTGGTGGACTGTAGGAATGCTATCTTGACTTTAGGAAAATGTTTGACAAAGTGCCCCATGGTATCTTGCTTAGCAAGCTAACAAAAAGTGGGCTAGATGGAACAACTGTTAGGTGGATCCATAACTGGCTACCGAATTCGACTACCAGAGTTCTCCTCAATAGCACTGTCTACTGGGGAGAGGTTGCAAGTGGGGTACCACAGGGTTCAGTCCTGGACCAACTGCCCTTCAACATTTTTATTAATGATTTCGGTGAGGGAGGAAGGTCAGGGGACATTGATCAGATTTGCATATGATAAAACTGAAGATTCAATGTGATCTTGATAAGTTGGAAAACTGGGCTGAAAACAACAGAAGTTCTTCACCTAGGAAAAAGAAACCAAATGCATTGTTACAAGATGGGGAATATTTGGTTCAACAATACTGCAAGTGAGAAGGATCTTGGAATTGTTGTAGATCACAAGGTGAATATGAGTCAACAATGTGATGTGACTGCAAAAACGGCAAATCCTATTTTAGATTGCATTAATAGAAATATTACTTCCAAATCAGTAAAGTATATGTTCTTCTTTACTCAGAACTGGTTAGCCTCATCTGGAGTACTGCATCCAGTTCTGGGCACTACAGTTTATGAAATATGCAGACAAGTTGGCGGGCAACAAGAATGATCCAGGGTCTGGAAACAAACCTCTGGGGAGAGATTGAGACAACTGGTCATGCTTAGTCTCAAGAAGAGAAGACTGAGAGGAGATACTATAGCACTTTACCAGTTCCTGAAAGGTTGTTACAAAGACAAAGGGCAAGATCTCTCCAGAGTATAGAACATGGAATAACAGCCTCAGGTTACAGGAAACCAGATACTGACTAGACATCAGGAACAATTTCCTGACTGTTAGAGCAGTACTACAATGGAACCAATGAATAGGGAGGTTGTGGGCTCTCCCACACTAGAGGCATTCAAGATGCAACTGGACAGACATGTAAGAGAAATAGTTGTTGTCCAGCACTAGCAGGGAGTTGGATCCGATGACCTTCTTGGCCCCTTCAAACTTTACCATTCTATGATTTTATTATTTATAAAGTATGATCTGATGAATGAAGAACATCACATCCTATCATTCCTGCTCCCTATTGTTTAGGGCTAGTCACAGTGACAAATTTGGGTTCCTCCATGGTTTTCTACGAACAGTGATCAGTATTCTACAAACACAAACCAAATTCAACCAGGTTCAAAATATACCAGGAAGCTTCTTCTGCAGACAAGTACTCTATCCTTATCCTTAATTGTGGAATATTACTTCACTCTTCTACCAAACACAAGGAAAGGTGAAGCAGGATTATTACTCATAAAAGGATTGCATGTCATTGTGACTCAATATTTTATCCAATTTTGCAGGTTTTACTAGGGCGAACTATTTTTATTTTAATTTGAAATCTTAGAATCTGGTCTAATTAGTGTCCTCCCCCCCCCCCAGTTCCCATCATGATATGCTAGGGGCCGTAGGACATTCAAGCCCAAGACTTAATCCAGTCGTTTTATTTATTTATTTGCAGCATTTATATATCGCTCCACATCTGAAAAGGCTCTGGAGACATCAACAATGAAAACTTGGTATTAATAAAATACTGTACCAAAACAGAATGTTTTGTTTAAATGGTGGCTGGCCAACCAAGGAATATGGTGTTGGTGCCTGCCTGATATGGCAGTGAGTGCCAGAGAAATGAGACTGCCACATGGAAGGCTCTCCTCTTCTATGCAGATCTTCTAGGAACATGCCATCTGATGAGCTCAGGGACTAGGCAGGTCGCTAAGGGAGAAAGTGCTCTCAACCATTAAACCTAGTGAATAGGCAGCCAATGAAGCTCCCTCAGCAAAGGCTATGCCTCACTGTGCATTCAGACTTCAATACATACCAAAACATCTTGGATTAAATGGGAGAAGGGAATGTGTGGCAAAGTCAATGCAAATATAGAGGGCTTTAAGCTATTTCTTTTATCACTGAATTGCTTATTTGTCATTTCAGCTACACACAGACCTGGATCCTGGAAGCAGCAATATCAAGTACATCCTGTCAGGAGATGGAGCTGGGACTATCTTTGTGATCAATGACAAGACAGGGGATATTCATGCAATGAAAAGACTTGACCGGGAAGAAAAAGCTGAGTACACACTAACAGCCCAAGCAGTTGACAGGGATACAAACAAACCTCTGGAGCCTCCTTCTGAATTCATTATTAAGGTCCAAGACATCAATGATAACCCTCCAGAGTTTGTTGATGGTCCATATCATGCAACAGTTCCAGAAATGTCCATAGTAGGTATGTATGGGAGCTTATAGTTTCAAAATATTTTGTGGTTTAAATATAGATCAATGTATTTAAAGCAAACCACTGATGTACCAAAGGTATTATATTTATTTCCTATCTCATATTCACAAATGCATTCTTTATTGAGGCTTTCGTAACAAGCTATATGTTGAGCCATTCTTGTTGCATATTTATCCTATACATCTCAATATATTTTTGTCCCAGTCATGGTGCTGAGATTAGGTTAGTGTTACTGAATATTTACCAGGCTATGTCTACACACCACTATAACTCTATTGTTGGTTGATGTTTAATTTTCCATTTGTATGCATTTACCCTACTAAGATGCACCACTTAGGATATGAAGCTACTTATTTATGCCTTCTGCCTCACCAGAATTAGCTAGCAAGGCTAAAGAGACAGATGACAAACCTGGGAGTGGGTGGTAAGGTCGTTGAGTAGATTTAATCAATTAACTATTGAAATGAGATAATTAAAAGCAGACTGGCTGCCCTTGAAAAATAGGGTTAGGGTAGGCTTAGGGTGTTTTGGCTCTTAGATAAAGCTCATAGTTTAGTGGCAGGGTACAAGCTCAGAATTCGACCCACTCCCAATTCAGTCTTTAACATCTCCTATTGAATGTGGAAACACCCCCTGCTTCAGGACTTTCAGAGTTACTATTGGAGTATATGATTAATGGGCAAAATTAATATTAAGGAGACTTTTGAGAATGTGTCATCTCAGACTCTTCCTGTCCTGGTGAACCCTGGAAGAGACTGTAATGGATCTACTACAACAATTTATCCTTCAGGGTGAGTGCAATCCCTCATCCCAGGATGGGCAAAGTGGATTTCGGGAATGCTCTAGTAGGCTTTGTCCAGATAGTTTTTAAATGATCCAGGGTGGGGCGGGGCAGAATCAGGGCCCCCAGAGAGCAATCATGAAACCAATCATAATAGGACTGGTGAAGGAACAGGATGAGGGTTTCAGGGGCAGGGCGATGATGAGACTGCAGGGGCTGGCATGACTACTGCACAGAGGGTTCCTGCTGTGCCAGGGAGACTGGGAGGAAGAAGGAGGTCAGGAGGGCCAGGGAATGAAGTTCATGGGAAAGAGCTGCAATATATGTACACCAGTACTAGGAGCATGGGAAACAAGCAGAGAGAGACTCTCCTGGGAATAGGCAGGTATGACCTGGTGGGGATTACAAAATCATAGACTGGAATTTAAACATAGAAGGGTATGCTCTTTTTAGGAAGGACAGGAAGCAAAAGAGGGGAGGGGGTAGCACTACATGTGGGGGATCAGGTAGAGGCAACTTGGGTAAGATGGATGGGCCTAGAAGTGGCCAAGAATCTGACAGTGGGAGTATGTTATCACACACTGGGTCAACTTGAAGCCCTGGATGATGGTGTGATAGACCAGATTGGAAGGATATCCTGGGGAGGGATACAGTCAGAATGGGAGACTTCAACTTTCCTGATATTAACTGAGAGATGCACTCAGTGGTGGCTAGGACCTGTTGCTTCCTAGAAGCTATGGGGGGGGGGGCGGTCACCCAGAGGGTCTGAGAGGCAACAAGGGTAGGGAAAACCTCCTAGACTTGGTTCTGACCAACAGGAAGGATTCAGTAGATGATACGCAAATTAGGGTAGCTTAGGATGCAAGTGACCACACCATCCTATGCTCTGAGATCAGGGGATGAGTGGTAGGTCAAGTACTAGGAGTTGGGACTTCTCGAGGGCCAACTTCAGTCGATTGAAGGCCAATCTGGAAGAAGTCTCCTGGGAGACGGTTATACTGCTGATTAGCAAAGTGGGAAGGTGTAGGAGAGCAGCACCATAGATGTGAAGAGAGGTGGTAAGAGGGATTAGAAACAAGAGGGACCTCAACAGCAAATGGGCACTGTGCAAGTGGACAAAAGTGTATACCAGGAGGAGGCAGCATGATACAGAAGGATTCTTCGCAAGACTAAGGCTGATTATGAGCTGAAACTGGCAAAGAATGTCAAGAGCAACAAACAGGGCTTCTACTTTCATGTAAATAGGAAGAGGAAGAGGAGATAGGCAGTGGGACCACGGAGGGAGGGGATCTGGAAACTGATGTAAGAGAACAGGTACAGATGTTAAATAAAAAAAGATCCTGCTAGATCAACCTTGTGGAATTCTATGATAAGGTCCTGAGGTGGCTAGATGGAAGGGATATGATGGATGTGCTTTACCTGGATTTCAGCAAGTCCTTTGACAAAGTGCCCCGTGATGTCCCCATGGTTGAGAAATTGAGGAGTTTTTGGATAGAACAATGCACTGTCTGATGGATTAGGGCATGGCTGAGTGACCGAAAACAGAGGGTAACCATTAGTGCCACATGATATCCTGGTCAACAAATTGTTGAGTTTTGGGATAGATCTATGAACTGCCCGATGGATTAGGGCATGGCTGACTGACCAAAAGCAGAGGATGAGGGGAATCATCAGGACGGCATCCAGTGACAAGTGCTAGGCTCAGTTCTGGGATTGATTCTGTTCAACCTTTTTATCAATGACCTGGAGGAGGGGATAACCTGTCTGCTAACTAACTTTGTGGACAATACCAAGGGGGGGGGGGTTGCCACAACTGAGGAGCAGGAGATCCAGATCCAGAAGGATCTGGACCAACTGTGGAAGTGGGTGGGAGACAACAGGATGGCCTTCAATGTGGATAATTGTGAGGTCTTGCAACTGGGACACGGGAATAGCTGTCACATGTACAAGGTATAGGATGGGAGACAAAGGATCTTGGGGTACTTGTTGACAGCAAGCTGAACATGAGCCAACAGTGTGATGTGGTGGTTAAGAATGCAAATGCCACCCTTGGATGTATAGCCAGAATCATGGCTTCCAGATCTAAGGAGGTGTTGATACCACTCTGCATGACCCTAGTGTGCCCACAACTGGAGTACTGAATCCAGTTCTAGGCCCCACATAGAGGAGAGACATAGCTAGGTTAGAATCAGTTCAGTGCAGGTTCACAAGGATGATAGATGGGTAGTTGGGAGAGATAATATATAAGGAGAGGTTGAGGGAACCAGGTCATTTCAGTCTGGAGAAGAGAAGATTCCGAGGGGATATTTTAGCAACTTATAGGTATTTGAAGGGATGTCATGTGGAGAAGGGCTGTGACTTTCCCTGCAGTGGACAGCAGAATGCATTCCTATGGGGCAAAGCTCAAGGAACCAGGCTTCAGTTTGGATATCAGGAAGTACTTCCTGATGGTTTGGACCCCTAGGATATGGAAGGGGACCAAACCATCAGGAAGTGGTTAAAGCCCTATCAGTGAGGAATGATTGCACAACCACAGGTTCGGGATTACATGAATGGAGCCAGCTGGAACTAGGTGTCAGACTGGATGGCTGGGGAGCCCCCTTCTGACTCACTCTGTTTCTCTGTTTCTGTGTTTCTATCCCAACCATTTTTGTGCTTACACAATGGTTTGGAACATCCTCTGCTTTACATGGCTTTGATACAAAGGAGAAGCAGAATTCAGTTCTTTGTGGTTTCTGTGCATCACACATAAGTGTTCTGCACCTGTATGGATCCTGTTGTTGGGAAGATTCTACAGCTATGTGTTAGTTTGGGCAGGAGCTCTTCCCTTTCCTGATTCCTGCATCCATGGGAAAGGCTCCTTCCCATTCCCCAGTACAGAGACTGAGGGAACTGAATATGTTCAGCCATGAGAAGAGAAAACAGAGTGGGGACATGATATCCCTCTATAATTACCTCAAAGGATGTCACAAGAAGAAGGTGAAGATCTCTTCTCACTTCTCAATCAGCTCAAGCTGTGACAACTCAGATTCATGCTAGAAAAAGTTTCTTCACTGTCAGAGCAATCTGACAGAGGCTCTGTCACTCTTTGAAACAGAACCACTCTATCCTGGGAAAGTATTCACTGCTAAAGAGAGCTGCTGTCAAACAATGATGCCAAAGCCTTCCTGCCATGGAGAGACTTTGATATTGGGACAAAGGCTCCATCAATCTTCTTGATACCAACAGATACTGAGAGAGAGCCCCCATCAGCCATCAACACTGAGGACTCCTTGATCCTGTTCAATACCAAAGAGAGAGCCCCCATAGACTATTGATGCTGAGGACCACTTGTACCTGAGAGACTGTTCGATACCAAGACAGAAGCCCCTGCCAACTTTTGATACCAAGGACTGTTCAATACTGAGAGAGTGCTACTGAGGGAGAGCCCTGTTGACTATCAACACTAAGAGCTATTTCATGCCAGGACACCATTTGGGGAAGTGTTTGGATCCAAGAGAGAAATCAACCTGAGAAGGAGTCCTTGTCTACCATTGACACTAAGGCCTGGTCACATCCTGGTCAATCCTGAGTTGGAATTCAGAGCATCTTGCAATGAAGATTGGAATTTTCAACTTTTAGAGGACATTCAGGTCTAGTGACCTCAACAGAGATCCAGTGACCACCAGGGACATCCATCCCACTGGCACATCTATGACAACATGGTCCCAACCGGACAACATTGTTAATGATTTTTGATGCCACTGACCTTGACACTGAGAATGTCCATTGTAAGATCTCAAGGACTGTGCATCCAACTCCGACCCAGATGCAGTACCATCCTCCTCATCTGATTTAGCCATTTTTGCACAGGGCCCAGTACCTTCACTGACAGAGATGGGCAGAATCTCCAAGCAGATCCTGTGAATGCTGAATTCCCTTGCTCTCAAGGCACAGAAGCCTAGAAGATAGAGTCATGGACCCCATCTTTGTCACCACCCACATGGAGGACTCAGCTAACTGATACCATTCCTGCCCATTCTACTACAGGTGATCCTGTAGACATGGAAATCCCTTACAGCCACACATGCCACTTCAAGTGGTTTGAGAGGATGTACTGTGTCCTGGAAAGATACTTCCTGTTCCTCTTCCAAAACTGTAACAAAACATCAGCCTTGGTGCCAGCAGACTGGGAAGACTGATGTCTGGACTGTATGATGGGGGAGGTCTC